TCTCTCTCTCGCTCACCCTCGCTATCTCTCTTTATCTCCTCCCCCATTCCTCTTCCACTGAGCTTCTTTCTTCGGCGAATGACTTCCTTCGTCGGCTTTGATGCAGCCGTCGTCAGCGAAGTCACAGGAACCATGGAGGCTGCTGGTTTAAAAAAAAAGCTGAAAGATTTAGGGGTTTTTTACTATTAGAAAAAATACAGAAAGATGGAATAATGTATGGAACAAAGAAAAGAGAAACTCCAAGAAAATTTTAAGAGTAATGAAAAACGATAAGAAAAAAAAATCTGGAAAAAGAGGGAGATGGAGGTAGAGGGAGGAAATCAGGAGGGAAGTCTAAAATATTAGTGGAGGGGTAGTGAGAGTCATTTGGTGTGAAGGTGATGTCTAAAATATTAGTGGAGGGGTAGTGAGAGTCATTTGGTGTGAAGGTGATGTCAGCAAATGTCTATAAATCTTGTGTTTTGAAAAGAATGATTAAAAAACTTAAAAAAGAGACTATGCTTATTTTGTCCATCTTCCCATTTAAAAGGAAAGGCCCATCTGTTTTTAAATAAATATTATATTTTTTTAAAAATAGATTAATTTTTCTTTTATTAATACCATTTGTGTGGTGCATTTCAATTGTCTTTTGCATTGGAATTATTGATACAAACCAGTTTTGACAAGATATTTCTACTGGTAGAAAATATGAATATTCGACATCTCTACGTGAAATTAATTGATAAAAGATTAATGAAAAGAAACTTATTTGTGAAAATATTAGAAATAAAATTCTTATAAAAATAAGGCTCTTTTTGTACAATATAATACAAATTAACGAGAGAAGTTCATTACCCAATTTGACTCTAGAAAATTAGATTCAAGTTGCATTAATATTTTTTTCTATTTTATGGTTGTTGAAGGATAAATTTAGGTGAATCACAAATTGCCTAAAATTGTATCTCATTAAATTGAAGCCAATTAAAATTTGACAATTGTCTTTAAATTAAAAGATATCAAAAGAAATTGGCCAATTAAATAATGTCACATGTTATTATAGTGAATAACTATTGAAATTCGTCTTTTGACTACGCGAATTGCTCTCGGGAAACATATTAATTATTGTGGAAACATCCTAACATTTTGCACTTTCATTTTATTGATGCAATTAAATAAAAATCATAATATGTTTTCAAAAAGTCGTTGATGGGACAACTTTTATAATTTATAGGCTTCATTTCATAACCATTTTATTTTTAGTTTTTTTGCTTTATGTTTTTAAAATTTATGTTTGCTTCTCTTCTCACAAATTTTTTTATATATATTTTCAAAGGGACAAATATATTAGAATTTTTTATGCAAATGCACAAAAAATACAGCTTAAAATATGAAAAAATAAAATTTGAAAATAAAAATGGTTTCAAATTGGATGGGTGAAAATTTGAACATATCATTTTGTGAGTCCATCTATGTAAATCTTAATTAAGTGTATCATTATCGAGAAGAGTAAGTCTAATTAAGCACAATCCTAGATAAATCAAAATTATAATTAATATGGAAGCAACCTTATCACTTTCACTTATGAGTTCACATTATTATTAGTATTACATTGGAAATAAGTGATTCAAAACTAACCACTCATACAATGAGGTACAACCACTCGAACTTGGAGGCAAAAAAAAAAAGATTTTTTTAGGATATTTGGAAGAATTTCACATTTATATGCCGGGCGATAATTTTAACAAATAATGTTAAACTTATTCTTTTATTATTTATTAGGAGGTTGGAGGACGAATACTAGGATCTACCTCTCTTCCTTTCTCATTCGAGTGGGTTTCCAAAATTCGATTTTGTATGTTCAAGTCCAACAGAGTGCATGCGCTTTCATCCCACTCATTCAATTTCTTGCTTGCATTGTGATCCATATGTTTTTATTATAGCATCAATATATAATTTGATAATCCAATTATTTTTCTTCGCGTAGCTATTAAACTGGAGACCAAAAAACTTCGTGACGACAAGCACAAGCTCTATTTTTATTTTTATTTTTTAATTTTGATTGTTATTATGGGTCCAATAGTCAATACAAGTTCGGTGATAATATTATATTTCAGTTGAAAAATGCATACTCTATTGAAGACAAGAGTTAAGCTAAGTATAACAAGGATCGGATCATTTGAGGAGCTAGAGATTGGTACAAACTATATTGGGACAACAATTATCAACATTTTATTACACAAAAATAATAATAAATAAGTGTGCGATGCGATTTATTCTTTCCCATAAATACCGGATTGTGTATATAGATGTTCGGAAAAATGACATGTTAAAATTTCACATTCAAAAATGAAATTAGTATTATTTCACAACTTATTGATTTTTTTTAATGCAATAGATGTAGGGATAAAGGTACCAATCTGAATATAACTCAATTGATTAAGGTATGCCGATCGAAAGATCGTAAGTTTGAATCTTTACTGTATTTAAAAAAAATATATGGAGATGAAAGTTTATTTAAAAATCTCTCGAAATGTGAAGTAACAAATAGAACATATAAAACATGGACGACGTGTTCAGGTTAGGGCACAAATTATTAATAAGAGTCTATTTATGTGCTGTTGTGTATGTGTCTTAAGAGTGGTGACACTTGACAAGGTGATTTTGCCCACGATTTTTTGTTTTCTTTCGCATGTTTCTTTTTTGAAACATCCAAAATTTTAATTTTCTTTTGCATGTTTTAGATTATTTAAATAAATAAGACAAAATTTATAGAGTGTAACGAAATTCGAATCTCGAAATTTATTTCAAAATTTTGGATTTATTTCAATTCTGTCATCGTTTCGAAATGGATTCAATTTTAACACAATGTATCACACATGTCAAGGACTTCAATACTATTATGCAGGTTTCACTCATGTGACACAATAAACCAATGCCGCATCTCACTTCTTTATTTTTATGGGTTGGGTACCTCAAGATTTTGAATGATTACAAGGATTTTATGGTTTATTATCACAGATGAATTTCAAAACGTGTTTTCATGGAAGAAAAATCTTTTTCCGATTAATTTAATTGACTTGGGTAAAATTTTATAAAATGTGAAAGTAAATTACTTATTTAACCTTGTCATATTTTAATTTTTAATTAATAAATTTTGGTTAAAATTTAAATCAATAAACGGTTTATTTTATCTTCTTTCGGGCGAACTTCTAACTATAGTGAAATTTAATTATATTCGTCTTAATTAATCCTCGTTCCAAACAAGATGAAAATTTTTAAATAATTTCTCGGATTTCAAATGAAAGTTTTTAAAATCATTGGTTGAACTTTCCTGATACAAATGGTTCATCTTTTCATCTTTACATTTTCCCGACTTATGTTTTATTATTTTCCCCTTTCAATCTCAACAAGGAAGAAAATTCGAACTCACATAATTTTAGTCGGAGACATATACCTCAACAATGTGAAAATGTTAATATGCTTCCATAAGTGATATGTTGAGGTGTTAGATATTGGAATAAAAATAAGTAATAAGTGTAGGAGTACTCATTGCCTAACTGGAGTTATTGATAAATTATTCCCAATTAGTATAACATTTAATTAGCATTGTATGTTTATCCCATTTTGACATAGGATTAATAGAACATAATTGAGGGAATAAAAGAAAATACCAATATAATAAAGAAATACAAGAATTTAATTAGGTAAAAATTTTCAAACTGAAAAAAAAAAACTACAACTAATCACAAACAAATTTACCGTGGAAAATATTACAATCACACAGAACTCGATCTACTTGATTCCGTTACAAAAATCACACCCTCATAGTTCGATATCACTAAGATTACTAGAATTAGTATACCAAATTAACTACTTCAGTTGGACTGTTAAAAACTAAAACCATGAGCGCCCTTTGATAACACTTACTACATTACCTCACCGTATATGTGTCGATATTGCTCAATAACAGCGACTCTTGGCAAATTCTGGCTCAAAATTTTGTTTCCATGTTTGGGTTTATCAATACGTCAATTTAGGTATAGAATCTTACAAAATTTCGTATCTCGATCAATTTAAATTTTGGATTATTTGAATGGGTGTGTTTCCTTCGAGTCCTTGAATGTAACGTTGCTAATTTTCTGGGTATCGATATAGTGGATCGAACAAGCCAAGAATCTCCCGACTTAGTTCATTTCATCTTTTCCTCTCCCATCAATTTACACAAAAGTCGAATCTATCGGGATCGGTGAGGGTTAGGATTCAGCCAAAAATATGGTTGCAGTAATGATATTTTTACAATATTTATATTGATAATATACAATAATATTAATAATGGAACATCAATAAATAAATAAGGAAATGGTGGGTTCAACCATTATCTTGTTTTCTTAGAACTCAAGGACAAAGTAGTACATCTTAGAAGAGATCATGTTCAAGTAAGGTCGTAATTAAGTTAATGTGTTTTAATCACATAAAATATGGAAATAAGAAGAAAAGTAAAGAAAGAAGAAATTAAAGAATGAGATGTTTTAGATTAAAAAAACGCTAAATATGTATTTTAGTCTCTAATATTTTAGTGTTTTTCAATTGGTTCCTTATGTAATGAACTGTTTTTCAATTAAGTCCTTATTGCAACAAATGTTAAAATTAATTGACATAATAAATAAAAGAGACTTAATTGAAACTAAGAGTTTTAAAAGATTATAGACTCCAATTTAAAAAATACCTCAACATTAGAACTAAAACATATATTTAATCTAAAATATACTAGTAACTAGCTATTGTAAGGTACATTTATTTTTTATATATAATATAAATAAATTATTAGGTAAATATGCTGTATTTGTAAGGTGATGGCAAACAAAGTCTCATATTAACTAGGGAAAGATGATCATGTATATATAAGAAAAGATAATTATGTCCATTGGTATGAAATTTTTTGGGTGAAATCCAAAAGCAAAGCCATGAGGGTACTAGCGGTACAACATGAGACCTTATAGATCTCTATAAAAACCATAGCTTGAGATGATCTAATAGCATCTCCAAACTAATCCACTGTGAAAGATGAGTAGATTCTCAGTTCTCTCATTTCTAATTCTCGCAATCTTCCTTGGAGGTTCTATTGTCAAAGGCGATGTTAGCTTTCGTTTGTCGGGTGCTGATCCTAGATCCTATGGGATGTTCATCAAAGATTTGAGGAATGCTCTTCCATTTCGAGAGAAAGTGTACAATATACCTCTCTTACTTCCTTCCGTTTCAGGAGCAGGACGATACTTACTAATGCATCTCTTCAATTACGACGGAAAAACCATCACAGTGGCCGTAGATGTAACAAACGTTTACATTATGGGCTATCTTGCCGATACAACATCCTACTTTTTTAACGAGCCTGCTGCTGAATTAGCTTCTCAATATGTATTCCGAGACGCTAGGAGGAAGATTACACTTCCATATTCTGGCAATTACGAAAGGCTTCAAATTGCTGCAGGCAAGCCAAGAGAAAAAATCCCCATTGGACTCCCAGCGTTGGATAGTGCAATAAGCACCTTGCTGCATTATGACTCCACAGCTGCCGCTGGGGCACTGCTTGTACTCATTCAGACCACTGCGGAGGCTGCGAGATTTAAGTATATTGAGCAACAAATTCAAGAAAGAGCTTACAGAGACGAGGTCCCGAGTCTAGCAACTATAAGTTTAGAAAACAGTTGGTCTGGTCTCTCCAAACAAATCCAGTTAGCGCAGGGCAATAATGGAATATTTAGAACTCCTATTGTGCTTGTGGATAACAAAGGAAATCGAGTCCAGATAACCAACGTTACTTCAAAAGTTGTAACCTCCAACATACAGTTATTGTTAAACACACGAAATATTGCAGAGGGTGACAACGGCGATGTTTCTACAACACATGGCTTTTCGAGCTACTAGAATGCCCTAAAGATGGTGAATATGGAAAATATGTTACAACTTTGAGGTAGCAACTACAACTCCACTTGAAGAATAATGTTCCTTCGATGCTTTGTAAGTGTGTTTTATTTCCCTTTATCAATAAAAAAGTGTGGAGCCTTTTAATGCTTTCAACTTCTTGATTTCACTATTTTATTAAAAGCTAAAGTACAAAAAAAAAAAGAAAAAAAAAGTCTGAACTTTGCTATCTGTTTAAAAAGTTTCCCTATCATTTCAAAAGATTCAATACAATCTTTGATCTTTTATAAACATTTCGAAAGTGGTTTTCGAGGAAACATCCATTAATATTTTTAATGAAAAGTTGACATGCAGAGTTTGGAATGACATAACAATTATCGTGAATGCTTGTCAAGATGAAGTGTCAAAAATATAGGAAATGTAAAAAAAGTTATTGTTTTTAAAAAGGAGACTACGACAAAATTAAGTAGACAATTACACGGATGAATACAAATTTTTATGGAAAAGTTAAGCAATGCATCAAAATTGCAAGCCCATGTAGCACAAAAAATTTCAGCCTATATCTGTGTAAAATCTTTTACCCACCGAAGGATTAACACGTTACAGTACTCTGGATGAGAAAAATTACAATTTTAACTTATTACAACAGTAGAAATCTTGTCCATTTTCAGCTAATTCAAGGTATAGCTCATCCCATCTCAAGAACAAATTACTGTGAAGGTTATTTCCTTTTGTAAAATTACAACTCTCGACTATTTGTAAAAATAGTCGGGAAACGTATCCTTTAGCCGACTATTTTAGTAAATCGTCAGGGTTATTGTTTTAATTTTTTTAAATATTACAACTTCCAACTATTTTAGAAATAGTCGGGAAAAGTTAATACACCCGACGATTTTGAATATTTGTTGGCAGAAGTAGTCTTTAGCCGACTATTTTAATACACCATCGGATATATTGTTTAATTTTTTTTTAAATATTACAACTTCCGACAAATGGATCAAAATATTGGAGTTGTTCGAGATATTTAAGATTGAGGAAGAATGTATTGTACTAAGGACTTGGGTCATGTAAACTATTTTGTAGTTGCAAAATTTAGATGTTTTTAAGCATGCCCAACTTCTAGGATTGTTGTAATTGGTAGATAGATCTTGTGAACAAATTTTGGTGAGAACATTTCTTATGAAAAAAAATTCTTGCATGTGATCGTATAAAAGTTTTGGATGTGGCTGGAGATTTTATATTTGGTTGTTTAACTAGTTCGAATTGCTAGGGCACGTTTGGTAAATATTTTGTTTTCTATTTTTTACTTTTTGATATTTAGCTTTTTTTGAAAAATAGGATGGTTAGAGAACCGATTCAATTTTCTATTTTTTGCTTTTCAAAATTTAATTTAAAAAAAAACGTTTTTGAAAACATGTTTTTGTTTTTCAAAATATCACTTTTTCTATAATACTCAACTTGTTTTTTCTTTGACATATTTGTTAGTAATAAATTTTTTTCTCCCTATAAAATTTTTTTCTTCATAAATATCTCTTTAAAAAAATTTAATTTTCTCTCTCTAAATTTTTAATATTTTTAATATTTATTATTATTCCTCTATCTCCAAATTTTTCTATATGTATTTTTATTACTTTAATTTTTTCTTCAAACAAATCATCCTCATTTCTGTCCCTAACAATTTAATATTTTCCCCAACTTTTCTCTCTCTAAAACTAATCTATTTTTTCTGAAAAATATATTTTCTCGTTCAATTTTCTTTCACTATAAATTTTATAACTTTTATTTCTCCTTTGTATTTATTTATTTTCTCTAAAAAAAGTATATTTCATGTCTTATTTTTATCGCTAAATTTTTTACTCACTTTAATTTTTCTTTCCCTTTCCAATTTTTTTTTTCTTTTACATATCTATTACTCGCAACTTTACTCTTTTCTCTAAAATTTTTCTCTTTACTTTACTTTCACTAATTTTTTTTTCTAAATATTTTTCTCTTAAATTTCTGTTTCAAATATTTATTTCTATCTCTCCAAGAATAAAAAATGCATGTCTCGACTCTAATTGATTCCATTTTTTAAATAATTAATATATATTTGATTAACATATTTACTAATTTGTTAATAAAATAGTAAATATTTTTTAAAACTAATTATTTATACTAGTAAATAATAATTCTAAAGATAATTAATATATATTTATTACAATTTTTAAATTTTTAAATACTTAAAATAATTAAAATTAATTATAAAACCGGTAATTTTTCTCGTGAATATCCCCGTCTCCAAATAATGATTTTTAAAGTAGATCGCAATTCCCGAACCAAAGAACAAGGTTGATGGGGAACTAAAAATTTTCATGAGCACGAGAATCAGAGAGGGCATTGTTGGGACTTTCTCTACCTTTTAAAGATAAGAAATACGTGCAAGCACATGGTCACAAGTAATACTTGGGAGTAATTTAAGGTCAAATCCTCAAGGACTTGTGCTTTCAAAATCAAGTAATGAAGTGAAATGGTTCGAAAATGCAATCGTGGTTTGTGAAGAAAAATGGTGACAAAAGTTGTTGTTTGAGGTTTTAAATATCAAGCAACTTAATAAAACACAACCTATTTGCTTCCTACCTTACCTTTGATGGAAAATATGGAAGATACACACTTTGGGGAAAATGCACCAGCTACGATTTGACTAAATCTTGGTAATATAAGTTCTACTTTTTCACGAATCGCTTTTGGTTGCTGCAGAGATTAGGGTAACCTACAATCATATTTCTATATGTGATTACAATCCTAGAAAATATTTATCAACGCATTTTCATTTATGGGTCAGAGAGTCTATGTCTAAGATCGTGTTTTATGCACTTATGCCTAAGTCACATCCCTTATTGGTTTCATATTATTTTATCTAACTCACCCTTCTCAGAGTTGGCCTTTAGTGCATAAATCAATTTCTCAGTGGCTAAATGGAAAAAAGACGTAAAGATAAGTTTTAGAAACCAACCCAAGATTGCGTCAGGCGCAATCTGGTCAAATCCCAAGCATGTTCGAAATCAATTCATTTTGGCCAAGACATTCCACAAAGAGGTTGATAACTAAATTAGTGCATAATTAAAGGAAAGAAAACACACGAAAACATAAAATAAGGAATTTCCATTGAATTTAAATGAATAATAATGACCTACGAGGAGTTCTAGCTTAACACTCTTATCTTTCGAGTGTGAGGGGGGTGTAAACTCGCTTAAGAACTTAAAAAGAACGGAATAGATGAAGAATGAAAATACAAACTCGAATTGAAGGCAATACAATAAGTAAAATAGAGAAAATACAAGAAATGAACAACTAAAACGTAACGCTAAAGCTTATGAACGAATTCTCTAGCTAAGAACGAAAGTAAAGAAGATGAAAATGAGATGGAAATGGATCATTTGCTGCTGGGGGAGAGACTCCCTTTTATAGGCTCTTAAATTGGTTGAACTTCCTACAATTTTAGGTGGTAATGGGTTGAGATTCTCTAAACAAACCCTCCTTAACTTGGACTCACGATTTTGGCTTGATTCAAATATGTTGGAAATGACTCCCCTGCCCTTCATTAAGTGAAACACACGTTTTGAAGAGTTGACCACAAAAAAGCGTCAGACGCTTTTTCATGCAAAATAGATTTATGTTATTTTCTTCCAACTTTGACCGCATTTTCTCATATTTTTCCTAAAGTACCATATATTGCAAATTATCCAAAAATGTTCTATGCATGTTCTACTTTGAGAATATGTAAACTTTTTTAGCTAATAATGATGGGAAATGGTTCATTTTTATGGTCAAACAGATCTACCGACACATATTTCCGTAGTATAAAGTCAACCCTAACACACCCCCAAACTTAGCCATTTGCTTGTCCTCAAGCAAAAACAACAACAAAAAAATCCATAACAATCAACATGCTAGAAAGATAAATGATCAACAATCCAAAAGATTCTAAGTCATCGAATCACGTCTCAGGAAGGACTCCAAAACAAAAAGTGAAAAATGATTTATGGCTTGATCATAAAACTAGAAAATCTAAATTATTTATACCCTCAAGTATCCTCATTGACATGATACAAAACAAATAACAAATGAAAGCTTTTCATCAAGATGAACATGCTGAAAGTTAGAAAAGATGCTATTGAAAAAGCCAACGACAAACTTGTAGCTAGAACAAGGAAGCATGCAAAGTTTGAACTTAAAGCATAAACACAACCAACATCTATTACTATCAGCATAACATCCCACCAACATCATCCTAAAACCAAAACTAACCTAAAAAACCTAACTAGCAAACTAAAAAAACAAAAACATACAAGATAAATATCCAAAACATCAAGTATCAAAGCAAATAGAGAGATATACTCCCTTAATCATCATCATCTGAAGAATCATCGTAGGGAAATGTTGTGTCCACACAGCTGTGTTGACAACACATGCAAGTATACATGAAAATTGTCGATTGTAGTACGAAACGAGGTCGAATCCACAAGGACTTTGGATTATATTCTAAACTATGTTCGCATATACCAAAATGTCATAAACAAAACAGTAAATGATCTCAACAGCAGACACACTTCCAAACGTTGATAACAGAAAGAAGTCATAGCACAAAATAGTGAAAATGAAGGTTAACAAATATGGAAAAGTAGGGGAGATATAACATGTTTTCACTGACTTTTCAACCTACCCTCTAACAAGACAACATTCATTAGTGCTCAACTCGACATGGTTCCCTTTCAAGACACCCAAACATGGATACCCACAACTCCCGTTGCTAAGTTTCCAAGCAATATACACAAGTTCTAAGCATGATTAGGGGACCCCATTCCTGAGCATTCACAAATTACTTGAAAAAAGTAACTAATCACAAACAGAGCAAGTCATCAACCCGTAAGCCCTCCCGGGTCAATACAGACGCTAGCATACAAAACAGAGTGGCCAATTGTGTTAGGTAAGATTAAAAAATAAATACAGGTCTATTTAATAACAGATGAAATCAGCTAGAGGTTTAGTTGTTTTTATCAGCTACAACCTGTAAATCTCCCTAGAAATGTGGTTTAGTTCATGGAGAAAGAAGAAAATACAATGGGTAAAGGAAGAAGACAACCCATTTCAAGAAAAGAGAAAAAAACTGAGGATGA